ATGATACTGTTCTAGCTTGTTTTTAAAGATCTTTGGCAATATTTTGCTTTCATGTGACATTATTAATGATACTTTCTTGGGACTGGGAAAAAATATGGTTCTCTTTCAGTTAGTTGGCCATGTAGTAGTCTTTCAAATTCTTTCACAGTAAGGGCATATTTACATAAAAAATGAAGTGACAAATTCACCCATGTTCTTTCCTCTCAAAACTAGTAACTTCCACATTTAGGTCTATGAATCATCATAAATTTTTGTGTTTGCTGGAATACACATACCTGGATAGAGGTTCACTTTCTTCCCATAATAATTATCCAATGGTTCCAGCATAGTTCACGAGAGACTATACTTTCTGCACAGGATCAATTTGTTACCTTTGTAAAAAAATCAAGTGACCATTTTTGTGTTGTTCTATTTCTATTCAATTGATCTGTTTGTCCACAGTAAGGTCAGTATTGCACTGGTTTGATCACTGAAGCATTTTATTAATTCTTGAAACTAGATTTTTAAGCTGTCCAGATTTTTGTAGGAATTCTAGGTTCTCTGAAATTACATGTTAATTTTAGAAGGCCTTGTGTCTTGATTAAGTTCAGACATACGAACAGGTAATTCTGCAGATAAATAGAACAGTCTTCTGATTTATCAACATAGTCGATTTAACTTCTCTCAGGAAAATGAAGTTATGTTTCATATTTTGGCATTATAAATAGCATTAATTTTAAGTTCATTTTCCAATATCTTACCATCAAAACGCATTGCCATTATGCTGGAAGTGAGTTGTTTAGAGAGTGTAAATAGCATGGAAAAAGATTGTCCATCACTAGAGCCATTGGTGCATTCAATCTCTTAGAACTGTGTTGTTTTTGAGTTAGTAGTACAATTCCCTACAGACTATACCTCCAGAAATACTATTGTCTCAGTATACATGATTTATATTTTGTAACCATACCAAATTTATTTAGTAGTCCTATAGATTTTAAAAATTATTATACTAGGTTATTTACAAAATTTAAAAACATTGTTTTTCAGACCAGATTCTTCCAATTTCCCTTACCCCCCATCAAATTGCAAAACCTCATGATTAATACCCTCCCCTATACATCCTCATCCTTCTGCTTCTATCCTTTCACACACACACACACCCCATTGATCTGTTCATTCTACAGTAAGATTTGTCCTTGTGGGACTGAGTTAGTCCACTTAGCATAATTCTCTCCAGACCCTCTCCAGTTATGTAATAATTAACAAAATGACTGTTCCTGTGTGCTGCCTAGTACTCCATTATATGAATGTACCATAACTTCTTAATCCATTTGATTGTGGTTGGAAATCTGGGCTGTTTCCATGTTCTTGTGAATAACGCTGCTATGAACATTGGTATACAAGCCTCCATTTGTGCCTCAGTTATCATTTTCTTTTCTTTTTTTCTAGTTCTCATTTTCTCAGGGCTTTTTCCAAGCAGTAGAATAGGTGGACCATATGGAATTTCTATGTTCAGCTTCTTGAGGAAGTGCCTTACTGCCTCTCAGAATGGTTGTACCATTTTACAATCCCATGAACAATGTATTATTAGCGTTTCTATCTCATCACATCTTCTCCAAAATTAATACCTGCTGTCCTGTTAAACTTTGTCACTGTTACTGTAGTGAGATAGCATCTCATCGTGGTTGTATTTGCCAGTGATTTTGAGCATTTCTTCATGTGTCTGTTGGCCATTAAAATACTTTCTTCTGTGATAATTCTTTCCATATATTTTTCCCATTTTGTAATTGGATTATCAGTCTTTTTCTTGTGGAGTCCCAGGAGTATTCTGTAAACTTTCATTATGAGACTCTTGTTTAAGATGGTATTACCAAATGTTTGTTCCCAATTGGTGAGTGTTCTTTTCACCCTGTTGGAAAAAGTTTTTGATGCACACAGAGATTTAATCTCTAGAAAGTAACATTCATTAATTTTATCCTCTTCAAATTGTATATTTCTGTCTGTATATGGCAGTCACTTTATATCATAGTCTAGTTCTTCTAAGCTTGATCCCAGTTTGTGTCTTATGAACTTTATGTTTGGTGGCTTTACTCCCAGGTCTCTGATGCACCTTGAGTTTATTTTAGTGTAAAGTGTAAGATATGCATCCTTTCTCAGCTTTCTGCAGGTAAAAGTCCAGTTTTGTCAGCACCATTTGTTGAAGAGTTTGTCATTTCCCCATTTAATAGCTTTGATTTCCTTGTCAAATATCAGTTGACCATAGATAGTTGGATTTATTTCTGGGTACTCAGTTCTGTTCTATTGGTCTATATGCCTGTGATTGTACCAGTACCATGCTGTTTGGTTACTATTGCTGTGTAGTAGGTTTTGAGATCAGGGAGTGCTATGCCTCTTCAGTATTTTTATATACAAAATCATGCAATGAGCATTGGAAGATCATGTGTCTTTTTTAAAAAATCTTTTCCTCTTGCGTTTCTCTTTCTTGCCTTGTTACACCAACTAAACATTCAGTAAAATGTTGACAAATACTAAAAGCCTGTTCCCTACCCATATATAAATATGAGTATTGTTGCTAGGTGCTGTCAAGTTGACTCCAACATATAACAACTAAAAAGCTGTTGACAGTTTCAATCTCTTCTCCATCCATCATGATGTTACCCATTGGTCCAGTGGGTAATAATCATTATTTTCTTGACATTAAGATGTAATTCATACTGAAGGCTGCACTCCTTGATCTTTGGAAATAAGTGCTTCAAGTCCTCCTCACTTTCAGCAAGCAAGGTTATGTCATCTGCATAACACAGGTTATCGATGAGTCTCTCTTCGATCTTGATGCTACATTGTTCTTCATAGATTCCAGCTTCTCAAATAATTTGCTCAGCATACAGATTACATATGTATGGAGAAAATGTCTCTTTGTGCTTTCCCAAATTAGGCCAATTCTTTTTTCACTGATAGTTTGCTGAGATGTTTATCATAAATGGGTATTGAATCTCATCAAATGCTTTTGGTCTATCTATGAAGATAATATAAGACAGGCATTTCAAACCCATCAGCTACTCTGAGAGAGATGTCCTCCTCTTTTCAACCTCTGAAAATTTGCTGGAGGGTCAGCTATGAATCAGCTCCAACTCAATGGCACAAAACAACAACAATAACATGAAATTAATATAGGGATTTTGTTGGCATAGTGTGTAATGTGCCAGGTCATTAACCAAAACATCAGCAGTTCCAATCTACCAGTTCTTTCAGTGAAGCTTTGTTATAAGTCTGAATTTACTGCAAGGTAGTAGAAGTTAAGACAAGCATACAATTTTTCTCTTTTAATATGTTAATGTAGTAATTAACCTGGAATTACATTTTTTTAAAAATAGACTTTTTATTAAATTTAATTTTGGGAATTACTTTTTAAATTTTGCATTGATTTTACATTTCTGAAATAACCCTTATTTGGCCATAGCATATTATTGTTTTCATACATTACTGTTTAGATTTCTTAGAAGTATTTAGTCAATGAATTTTGCTCCAACATTTATTAGAGATATTGTTTGTAATTTCCTTTTTTTATTATTTTTTTAGGTTTTATTATCAGTTTATGTTACCTTAAGGAAACAAACTGATATATACTCCTTATCTACTTTCTGAAGTAGATGATATGTGATTTATATAATTTCCCTCTTAATTTTCGTTAGAATTCACCTAAGGCTGAGGTTTCTTTATAGGAAGAGCTTCTAATTAAAATCCGGTTTCTTCAGCAAATATAAAGTTCTTCAGATCCTTACATTTTTCTTGGGTCAGTTTATCAATATATGCATACCTATGTTGAGGTATATTATTTACAGCAGCAAAAAGAGTTGGAGCCAAACCAATGGACGAATAAATAGACTACGTTACATTTTACACAATGGAGGACTACGTAACACTAACAACCAATAATTAATTAAACACATAGATGCAAATAGAGAAAATAATGTTACATGAAATCAATCAGTTACAAAGGACAAATACAGTGTACGATCACAGTTATAAAAAGGTAAAGAAAGATTTATACACAGAATGATTCTTAGATATGAAGGGTGGAAGAAGGAAGTAAAAATTTGTGAATAGGTAATAAGCATATGTTAAGATGAGTAAAGAGAAAAGCACTATCTAATAAGGGTGTGATCATTCAGTGTCACTAAAGAAAGGGAAAACAGAGGTATAGAAGGAGAAATGCAAATTATTACAGGAAGGAGGTAAAAAAAAGAAAACCATGTTGTAGATGTTAAAATTAATGTTCTCGAACAGATGGTATGAATGCCTGAATAAAAAATTTGTTTACTTTGTAAACCTTCACTCAAATCACAATTTTTAAAAAGTATTTTTTTTAAAGTAAAAGGTCACTGCACTGTCTTGATACAACGCTTTTGAATTCGAACCCAAATTTTATTGCTCCATTTCTGCCCAAGAACTATTGCTGTGAAGTCAGTTCCGACATACAGGGAACCCTCCATCAGTCTCTGGGTCTGCAGAGTGCCCATTTATCTTTGTCTGAAGAGCAGCTGGGGGATTCTAATGGTCTGCATGATGTGCTAAGGAATATGCCTGCCACCAGAGTGCCTTTCTCTCTGAAAAGTTTTGGGGTTTGTGACACTGAACATGTCTCTGTCTCCCAATTCAATGAGGAATTTAGGGAGGACAGGCCTGTATTTCACTCATCTTCAATATGCTGTTGCTTCTCTTATCTCCTCTCAGATGGAGAGGAAACTGACATCCACAAGCCAAGCTATGCAATAGGGCATAGCACGCATAGCACGCATAGCACGCATAGCACGCATAGCACGCATAGCACGCATAGCACGCATAGCACGCACAGCACGCACAGCACGCACAGCACGCACAGCAGCACAGCACGCACTACACTACGATGCCTCGTGCCTCAGACTATTCACAGTCTGGCTGTGGTGTACCCACTGGCTGACTCTGAACTTATGCCCAGTAACCTTTAAGCGAGATGGCTATGGGCGTTCCATCCAAATGATATGTTTTTAGCAGGTGCCCTGACCGAAAGTGACACCTTTTGTCCCGGAAATGAAAATATTAATTCCAACACGAAGATTGTTCCAGAAACGTTATCTGTGCTTGACTTACACGCTGGGGTGGAGTCGACCACGGACTTAGTCCCTGGGGTGGGGTCGACGAAGTTGGGGCCTTGGGTGGCTGAAGGTGTGTCTGAGGAGGATAATTTGGGGACAGGACGGTTGCAGTCCTGGCAGCGATTCCAGGGGTCCAGGCAGGAGGAGTTCCAACAGCCCGCGATCCCCATCCGGCGAACAGAGAAGTTTAAGCAGAGACTCCTCTGCCGCACCGACTGCTTGGAGGCCCCACTCAGTCAGTTTCTTCCGATGTCTGGACACAGCGGTGGCTTCGTACCCCTGGGTTTTCCTGCTGGGGTCTCTGCTGCTGACGGCCTTTCTCAGCACTGGCTTTGTCCACCTGTCCTTTGACAAAGAGGAAAACCTGGAGGAGCAGTACTCCCCGGTGAGGAGCCCGGCCAAGAAAGAGCGCCAGTTCATTATAGGACATGACAGGACCAACGACTCCTTTCACTTCTCCTCCACCAGGGAGAGCACCCAGTTCACCTTCGCTGCCATCTTTGTCATCTCCAACACCCCCTCGCTGCTGGAATCGGACATTTTGGCTGAAGTTAGTAAACTGGACCCAGCCTTGGAGGATTTGTCCGTTGAGCAGGAGAACAGAACCCACATCCGCTTCCCACAAGTGTGTGCCAAGTTCCTGGACAACTGCGTGCCCTCCAACACGCTTCTGACCATCTGGCGGCAGGACAGAACCTTGAACCTGAAAAACATCGCTTTCCCAGTCCACCACTGGAAGCAACATCCCATCCACTTGACCCACATGGTTGGAGGCATCCAGTTAGGGGAGAGGAGAGGAAATAACCAGCTACTCCAGCAGGTCAGAGCCCTGCGGCTGCAGTACTACCTGCGGAGCCAGCTAGGGGAGGACAAGTCCAGGATCAAGAAGTGGCTCATCCATTTTCTGAGCCAATTTAACGACCTGAAGGAGAGGCTAGCCTTGAATCACATCCAGGTACGAAGATCTGTTGCAGGAACGGCAGCAGCATTCCCCAGCTATCTGGCCTCGACTTCAAGTTGAGCTCTTCTGTTTGGTATTTCCTTAATTAAAACTACCAGAGGAAGCCACAAGTCTAATGTCTTAAATCCTTGGTAACATTCTTGCTAATGATACGCTTCAGATTAGGTTCAGTACATACCTGAATCCTCTGCTTAGTTTTGGGTTCAGATTGCCTCTAATTCTTTTAGTTAAAAAGTATTCACTGGCCTCCGAGACTAGAGCTTCCCCCCACCCCTTCTTTGGAGTTCATGGAGATTAAAAATTGGTTAAGGTCCTTTATGTGGTTTTAAAAAGATCTCTGGTTTGACATTTTCAGATTCATTGGAGGGATCTCAGAAAACTCAAACTCATTACTGGGGAGTCGGAACCAACTCCTAACTGACCCTCCATTCTGTTTCCTAGGTTGTAGGCGGCATGGAAGGATATTAACCATCTTTTCTTGAGAAGCTACTGGTGAATTCAAAACTGCAGAGAGATGCTGCCTTGTGTTAGCAGCACAACTCTTTAAGGATCAGGCAGCAAGAGCTCCCGAGTCATAGAAAATGTTGTATACCATCCAGTTGGAGCCGATCCATAACTGATGCTCCAGAAGGTTTTCAGAGACAGTAAATCACAGGATGAGATTGCCCATCTTCCTTTTGCAGCTAGTCCATTTGAACTGCATGCTCTAGTGAGTTTTCAGAGGCAGTAATTCACAAGGGAGGCGAATGCCCATCTTTCTCTTGGAGCAGCTAGTGAATTCAAACTTCATACCTTTGTTTTGCAGCACAAATGGGTAGGTTCCAACTTCATGGCAAAACAAGAAGAAGCAGGGTTTTCAGAAGCAGTAAATTTTATAGGAGGAGATTGACTGTGCTTCTCCCATGGAGCAACTGGTGGGCTGAATCATATTCTTTTGGGATTGTTGTATAGTTTGTTACCACTGCAGCACCAGAACTCTCTCCAGAGAGATGGAACACCTAGTATAGTGCCAGGAAGAGTCTTGCATGGCTTAGTGGTAAGTGGTTCTGCCAACTCAAAGGCAGTTCAGATCCACCAGATGTGCCTGAGAGAAAATGGGCAGTCTCCCCCCATGGGATTTACAAGCTCTGAAAACCTGCTGGAAGGTCTGCTATGACTTGGTTCCAATGCACTGTGCTGATCGCATAGGTGATTACTTGTCTGGCTGCTAACTGGTGGTTGAGATCCACCAGTAGTTCCCCATGAGAAAGATGAACTATCTCTTGTAAATATTTATGAAAATCTTTAAACATATTTACAGAAATCCGATGGAGGACTGCCATGAATTAGAACAGCACTTGGTAATGGCTTATTATGCTAGTCATTTGGTAATTACTGGACCAGTAACCACATTACACTTTTAAATAAGCCTGGTCAAACTGATTTCCCTATTGGAAAAAGTTTTGAATACCAGGCCTTCTTGAAATTATATTAATGCAAACCCTATAATACAGAGTTAAGAGAAAGTGATAATCTCCATAAATATGAATGTGATGAGTGTTTAATACTTTTATGTAGAATTCAATTTATATACATCAGGAGTTTGAGAACTTAGGACTTTCCAAATAGCTTTGGAAAATATGTTATATCTGATAAAACTCATAACCCATGTTTTGATCTTTGACTTAAACGAAAGTATTTGAATAGTGTTAGTTAACTACTATTTGAATAGTGTTAGTTAACTACTGAACAAAAATTGAAATTGAAAGTTAATAACTTGAGTTTTATTTTTATGGCAGGTAATCTACTCTACATCACTTTCTAGACAAAGGGAATTTGAAGCAACTGCTAAGAAAGCGATCCCTTTGTTTCACTTGGCATACCTTCTAATCATAGCATTTGCAATCCTGTCATGCTACAGGTAAAATATCTCTTAATTTTTTTAAAAAAAATTCTGTTATGATATGCTTTTTATTTTGCCCATTAGAAATACCATACAATAAAAAAATATTGGAGTGTGGGTTTTCATAATATTCCAAAGTTAGTCTTTTTATTGTACTTGGCTCTGTTGTGATATTGCCCATTTCATCTTTTATTTTTTTTATTTTTTATTTTATTTGTCTTTTCCTTTGTTAGTTTTTCAAGTGGTTTGTCAATTTTTTTGTCCTTTTTGAAGATCCAACTCCTAGTTTTGTTGATGCTTTCTGCCCTAATTTTTATAATTTCAGTTATTTTAGAGGATGTCAGGTCTTCTTGCTGTTCTTTTTCAATTTGTTTGAGATGTTGAGTTAGAGAGTCAATGGTCCTGACTTTTGATGTGTTTGCATATTGCTATAAATTGACCTCTGATTACTGCTTTGGCTGTTTCCCACAGGATTCAGTGACTGGTGTTTTCATTGTCATTTCTTTCAAGAAACTTTTTAATTTCAGGTTTTATTTCTTCTAGTACCCAGTAATGGTCAAGCAAGGTTTTGTTCAGCTTCCAAATGTGTGGATTTTTCTTCTTTATCCCTCTTCTTATTAACTTCTAATTTTGTAGCCTTGTGGTCTGAGTAGATGCTTTGTATTATTTCTATGTTTTTAAATTTATTGATGCTTGCCTTATGAGCTATTCTCGAGAATGTTCCATGAGCATTGGAGGAGAAGGTATACTGTGGTTTTTTGGGGGTGCATTAGCCTATAAATATCTATGAGATTGAGTTGGTTTATTGTGTGGTTTAATTCTGGAGCATCTTTGTTGAGTTTCTTTCTGGTAGTTCTATCTTTTCTTGAGAGTGGTGTATTGAAGTCTCCAACAACTATAGTGGTGTTGTCTATTTCCTTTTTCAGTTTTGTTAATGTTTGTTTTATATATTTTGCAGCTCTATCATTTGGTGTATAGATATTTATTATTGTTATGTCCTCTTGTTCTATTGACCCTTTAAGCATTATGTAGTGACCTTCCTTGTCCTTTGTGATGGTTTTTGCATTGAAATGTATTTTATCAGAGATTAATATTGCTACTCCTGCTTTTTTCTGGTTGCCATTTGCTTGGTATATTTTTCCCACGTTTGTATTTTTAGTTTATTTTCACTTTTTGGGTGTGTCTCTTGAAGACAGCATATTGATGAATTTTGGGTTTTTTTTTTATCCAGTCTGCTATTCTTTCTCTTCAGTGGTGCATTTAAACCTTTTGCATTCAGTGTGATTATACAGAGGCAAGGTTTTATTGCTGTCATTTTGTT